AAAAAAAAATTAAAAAATCTATTGATTTGTGATTATTTCCATTCTTTTCATCCTTGTTGCTTTGAAGGTAAAAAGGTAAAAGTCGAGTAGATCCCCAAGGTGGGGTTCTCAGTATTCTAGTGTTGAATCCTTTGTTTATTTAACTCATAGGAAAGAACTGGGAGTTTTATTAGTGATAACTGTGACACAGTAAAAATTCCCAGGCTGGTTTGGAGAAACAGATGCTCAAAAGACCTACCTACAGCTTTTTGTTTGAATACTTTGCACATTCACTACAGCCTAGGCTTTAGATAGCACAAATTGGTTGAGCTCCAAACTAAATAAGTGCTGAAGTTTGGCCACTTATTTTTTTACATTGCACAGAGACAACTAGACCCTGGGATGGGATATTGGGAAGGAATTGTTGGCTGGGAGTGTGGTGAGGCCCTGGCACAGGTTGCCCAGAGAAGCTGTGGCTGCCCCTGGATCCCTGGAAGTGTCCAAGGCCAGGTTGGACGGGCTTGGAACAACCTGAGATAGTGGAATGTGTCAGGGGTTGGAATGCTGAGGGAGCCCCTCACATCTCCCTCAGCTACTCCTGATGCTCCAGCCCCTTTACCAGCTCCCTTCCCCTCAACCTCCCATTTTTAAAACATGCAAAGCCCCTCAACCTCCCATTTTTAAAACAAGCAAAGCAGAAAACCAAAGATAACAGACATATTTTTATTCCCTGTGTTTATTTATTTAAAGATCTTTCTGTACAAAGACTACAAAGAAGTTATCCCTTACCTGTTTTTTTTTTTTTTTTTTTTCTGAATATTTGACACGATCTTTTAAGATCCCTTCCAACCCAACCCCTTCTGCTATTCTGTGATTTATTGGATTCAGAATTCAGGAGAGCCGAGTCCCTTTTTATTGGTGTGAGGCAGAAAGGGGTAGTTTTGGTGGTGCCTGAACTGTAGAATTGAATTCACCTGAGGCAGGACCAGCTGGAGATGAAGCCCCCGTGCCATCAGTGCCGGTGGCTCGGAGCTCACAGGTGAGGAGCTCTCCAGCCCTTTGAAGTTGTTCCACTTTGCTGGAAATAATTAAATGCTCACTGGATACAGCCAGTTAAAAAGAATGAGTTCTTTAATCCCTCAGCTTGGGCACTCACCTGGGACATGATTAAGGAGGTGAGAATCTAAATGCTATTAGGAAGGGAAAGGATGGGAAAGCAGCGCCGAGGTGTCACTCAGATGTCTTTTTCTATTGCTCTTTACAGGGACATTTTTGCAGCAGGGTTTGAATCCCTGCTGAAGGAGCTCTCTGTCTCTAATCCTCTGAGAGAGGTGATGTTTTCTAAGTGGGAAATGGATACAGGATAAACAGACAATCTGCTCTTGGCACACAGCCCTCGGTGTAATAAAGTCTTCCCATCTGCAGGGAGGTTCTTCGATGGCTGAACCCCTTTTAGGGCTGAAGGAGAACCAGAACTGGAAATACCATAATGGCCCCTAAAAATAAAGGGTTTCTATTTGCACAATTAGCAGCAAATGAAATTATGTTTGGTGGTTTGATGAATTATTTAAAATCATTCAAACATCGAGAGTTTTTGGGGAGAAGGCTTCTGGAAATGTTCATAGTCGGTAAAACTTTAGCTGTGGAATATTAGAGATCAGCTAATTAAAAGCAGGAGGTGAGCTGAGGACACTGACAATGTAAATGGATGTTTCATGAGAAATTCTGAAGGAGGCACTGAGGTGAAGAGCTGAATGTCACTGAGAGAATTCCATCTGTCACTGAGAGAATTCCATCTATCACTGACCATTTTAAATCCATTCAGCTCTTCAGCTCGATTTCTTGTTAAAGATATGAAGCTTTTTGGAGTTATTGTTTCTTTTTGATTACTTCCTCTCTGTTTTATGAACTCTTACATAAAAGGTTCAATTAGAAATATCTCAGTGTTTGGTTTTTTTTTTTTACAGCACAGAGCTGGGTTGATGCCGTGGTTTTTTTTTTGGCTCTGTAGTGTGACAAAAGTAGGAAACCCAAACTGAAACGAGATGAATGTGTTCTCATAGTCAAACTAGAAGTCTAAAAAATGAACTGAGAAGATCAACACAACACAATTTAAGTTCCTTTTTGCCACTTTGACTGCAGAGGAGTCACATTCAGAACTAACCACAGAATGTTTTCGTTGGAAGGGACCTTAAAGCTCATCCAGTTCCACCGCCTGCCATGGGCAGGGACACCTTCCACTATTCCAGGCTGTGAGTGGTTGTTTCCACTTACTCCTTGGGGTAACCTCATAGTAACTTCTGTCTCCTTCTTGTGGTTTGTGTTGTACCTGTGGGAAATTGCTCTTTTCCCTTTCCTGTCCCCTCATGCCATTTGCTCTCTGTCCTTCTAGGAAATGTTTGGGTAAATCTATCCCACAAGAAGTTTTTTCCCTTCTCTTTCCTCATGTGTATCGAGCTGATTGGTTTGGTTCACACTAAAATTGTTGGGAAGTAGAAGTCCTTCCCCCACCAAGGACCAAGATTGTTCTTACTACAAATAACCACAGCTTGTTCTGAAAGAAAATCCACCAGATTGTGGGATGGCTTTGAGGAAAATTAGGGGTGAACCCGGTAGGACCAGCAGCGTTATTTCCTTCCTGTTCCTCTGAGGATGAATATTGATTTCAAATAAGTTCTAACAGTCTGGTCCAGCATATCTGAGGATTTTTTTTTTTCTCGAGGTCAGGTTGTAGTTCTCAGAGTAACACCATTATTTCCTTATTCTGAGGGAAAAAAAAAAAAAAAAAAAAAGCCGATTCTTTGAACTTCTGGATTAGTCAGAGCAGACGGTGTTGACAAGGTGTAATTGCTGCTCCTGTCGAGAGGGAAGGTAATGCCTCTGTTGTTTTGAAGTTCTTTAGAAAACTCTCCTGTGATCTAAAGCTGTTCCTCTTAGACAAGCAATCTGCTCCCAAGCGGTAGGAACCTTGCACAGGCTTCAGGTTGGCTTACAAAAAAATAAAAATAAAAATAGAAATATAAATAAAAATAAAAATGTTGAAGTCAGAAGTCACTCCTTAATATCTTTTTAGCTGTACAATGTTGGTTTGCAAGATCTGGCTGCATCATTGGCTGTTTGCTCTCCTTTTTTCTCTCCAGCAACTAAAAAAACTCCCAATCTGGGTGTCAACTATGGCAAAAGTCATTGTTTTCACTGATAACCCACATTAAACCAGGAGATCTGGAATAAATTCTATCCCTGACCTAAGGCCAGTTCTTGCCACGATATGAAAGACCATTTCACTTCATTATTAAGCCAATTATATCTGACTTGTATTTTTATTCTGTTTAAATGTCTGATGCTCCCTGCTTCCCACCAGCAGGGTTTGACTCCAGGTAACGAGCTGTTTCCCTGCACTGCAAAAGGCAGGGTGGGAAAGAGGGAATTGGGTCACCCTGTGCCTGGACAGTGCCTGGAGGATGGGATGACACGGCTTCACATGGAATTTGATGTTCTCTTTTAATCTCAGGGAGCTGATCTTGGTTACGCTGGGAAGCACATGAGAGAGGAAGCAGTTTGGTTTTATCAAAATCTAGATTACAGGTACCCCAGATGTGCCTTCTTTTAGTCCTCTGCGTTCCAGACTAAATTTAATCCCAGTTTCAAACCTTTTTTATGAGCTAGACCAGCTCTCTGTGCCTCATTTAAGTTTTCTTCATTCCAGGTGCCCCATTAACTGCTAAAATGCTGTCACACTTTTCCCCATCATGTCTCTCTAATGTATCCAAACATCCTTTTTATTTTTTTCAACTTTTTTTTTTTTTTTAATTTAATTCACGTTTCTCTTGGTACTGAATTGGTGTTTCTACTGAAGCCTCCTCAGTTTACTCACAGACTCTGGGTTTTGTTGTTTGGTGACAGCTCATTCAAGACCCATCACAGGGCCAGAATCACCTGGTTGCTGCCCTGCATGAAATCCAACAATTCTGTTGAAGTCAGTGGAGTAAATCTGGAGTTTCTGCTGGTGTAAATGAAATAAAAGCCTCCCTGGTGTGATCAAAGAGCTTATTATATCCCCACTAAAAGGCAGATGTGGCTGTCCAGCTTATTTATTTTAGTGTTCACTTATTATTCACTATTTCAATGAAGAATAAGATTTTTTTCCCCGTTCGTGAATATATAATGACAACAGATATGCCTAATTCCTTAAATTATAATATATATAATATATATAAAATAAAAAATGCTTGTGTAGTGCTCAGTAAAAAGGACTTTCACCCTGAGAGGTCTAAACTCATCAGTCGAACTATTAATTAAAAGTGAATTATGTAGCCTTCATATTTTCTGAAGGTGGATCTTTCAATAACATTGTGAATGATAAAGTAAGAAATGAAAAAATTCTCTTCACAATGTAACTGAAAAATAGGAATAATATTTTGTTTATGTACTGCGACACCTGCTAATCTTCCTTGTACATCATCTGCAGTAACAAAGTTTGAAGTTCAGATTCTGTCTCTTTTGGCTCTGTTGGCATCAGTGATTTGGATATTGTGAATTAACTTGAAATTATTTGTGTGATCTTGTGTAAACACATTCTTGAAATTTGCTTTTATAATCAATATTATTGCTGTTGTATAGTAATTATGACTATTTTATTATCAGTTATTTTATCCATAGCCCCACAGAAACAAAACCAATTTTGGAATTTCAAGACAACTTAGACACACACATTTTCATATTTTAATGTTCTACTTAGAATATTTAAAATATTTTACTGATTTTTGGTTACAAATGTGTAAAAACTATTAATTTTTTTCTCCTTTAACTGCTGTAAAATCATCTCTGTCTTAGCTTGTTGCCTCTCTGGGTGGTTTATTCATGACGGCCTTGCCTGAACAAGTATAAAATAGTGTGGAAAAAAAGCTTAATAAATCAGCATAATTTTAGGAAAATAGAAAAGCACTTTGCTTTGTATCTCAGGTAGAAAACGCTAAATGTGCCCTGGTTAATTCTCCCCTGATTTTCTCGTGTCTCTGAAGGCAGGACTGGTCACACCGAGGCCGTTCGAGTGGTTTATCAGCCAGAGAACATCAGCTTTGAGCAACTGCTCAAGGTCTTCTGGGAGAATCATGACCCGACACAAGGTAGAGTGATGAGTGAGCCAGTATTTAATTATCTTACTAATTACAGCTGGGATAATTAGTGTTTGAGCTGCATGGAAGAGATGAACCTTGAAATCACACTGGAGCTCAAGAATATGATTGCAGACATTTATTGACAGAGAAAGAGAGGGAGAGAGAGAGAATGAGAGCACAGAACCTCACAATGCCCCTCCTCCCTTCCAGCTGGCTGGGCTGGGAAAATTCCCACAGAGTGGCTCAGGAGACAATGGAAAATTCTTTTCAACTTTGATTATGACAATTTATGCTGTAATGTCTTTTGTCCCTTAAATTAACGTGCATTTCTTTGCAGATTCAACACTTATTTTATTTTATTTCATTTTATTTTATTTCATTTCATTTAATTTCATTTAATTTTATTTTATTTCATTTCAACGAATCATAAAAATGTTGGGGTTTTCCATTTTTCAACGATGCTGAATATACTTTATGATTAGAAAAAGGGAGCAAAAAAGAAGTAGGGGACGGTGTGTGGAGGCATCAGTGGATCATTCCATCTATTTGCCTGATTCAAACCTTTTAATTTAAGTTATCTTTCCTGGAAAGGGCTTTGTGGTGACATTTCCCACATCTGTGCAAACAGAAATAGGAAACTGTGTTGAGAAAACATTTTGCACATTTATGTAGTTCCAGTAAACATCATCCTTTCCACCATTCCCCAGAAATACTGCACTATTTTAACAGCTCTCATAATGATGCCACTTGTTACTACATCTGGGAACAAGAAAAAAAAAATGCAGTTGATACCTTCAAAATGTGATGCCATTCCTGGGAAAGAGTAACTCTAAGAGGGATTCAGGGATTGTTGTGGATAAGTGTCTTCCAGTGAGCCCAGAGCACAATGCAGAGACAAAAGTGGTTGTTGAAACTCTCTTTTCATATGAAAAGGGCCTTAGTCAAGAGTGTTAAATCTGTTTTTTTGTGTGCAGGGTCAGTAAAATCAGAACATTTTGTGCAGTTCCTGAGTTTCCATCTCTGAGATGATATGGAAACACTGCTTGAGATTTGGAGAGGGACAGAAAAAGGATCTGGAGCCCAGAAAACCAGCCTGGTGGTGGGAATAAACATGTTCTACTAGTGGAAGAGACACAGCACTATGTCAGGAGAGGTTCAGGTTTGATATCAGGAAAAGGTTCTTCCCCCAGAGGGTGGTTGGGCACTGAACAGGCTCCCCAGGGCAATGGTCATGGCCCCAAGGCTACCAGAGCTCAGGGAATGTTTGGATAACACTCTCAGGGACAGGGTGGGATTGTTGGGGTGTCCTGGGCAGGGCCAGGGGTTGGACTGGATGATCCTGGTGGGTCCCTTCTCACTCAGGACATTCTCTGAGTCTATGAACACTATAATCAAATAATCCTTGCAGGGACCTCACAGTGAGCTGCCAACCTGACCCCTGATAAACCAGGACAAGCTCCAGTAGCTGGAAGCTGATGTTTGAACAGTTCCACCTTGGAATAAAACAGCTTCACATCTCCCAGTGTAATTAAACATTGGAGTCTTTTTCCATCACCATCATTTCGAGTCTCTGAGATGAGATAATTAGTCATTTTAAAAGAGGTGCTTGGTTCGAGTCAGGAGAAGAAATTCGGTGTCTGTCAAGGGCGGTGGCCCATGCTGGTGATTGATGAGCCTCCCTTCCCAACCCCTTCCCTTGTAGCTGGCGGAGGGACATTTGTCTGCACCTCCCTGAAATACTTGCAGCTCTGCATTAAGACAGACCCACCATGGAAGGGGGTTGGAACTGGTCTTTAAGGTCCCTCCCAAACCATTCTAGGATTCTCCGATTCAACAAGAACCATCCTCACTTCATGCTCTTGGACCTTCCTGAGGGGTCAGGAAAGAGATTTTCTCCCTTGTTTTTAGTTCTTTTTTCATTTTTTTCTTTGGATTATCAGAAATTGGCCATCACCAGAGGGTGACTTCTTTATTTTAGCCTGGAAAAGGGAAAGGTTTGGGTTGATATAATGGAGGTCTTCCAGTACCTGAAGGGAGCCTACAAGAAAGAGGGAGAGAAACTATTTACAAGGGCCTAGAGAGACAGAAAAAGAGGGAATGGCTTCAAACTGACAGAAGACAAGTTTAGATGGGATATTGGAAAGAAATTCTTGGCCTGGAGGGTGGTTAGGCCCTGGCACAGGTTGCCCAGAGAAGCTGTGGCTGCCCCTGGATCTCTGGAAGTGTCCAAGGCCAGGTTGGACAGGGCTTGGAGCCACGTGGGCTAGTGGAAGGTGTCCCTGCCCATGGCAGGGGGTTGGAATGGGGTGGTCTTTAAGGTCCCTTCCAACCCAAACCATTCTGTGATTCTGTGATTCTACGGACTGGTTGTTTTGATACAGCAGAGATTCCCGTTTTGACATAATTGGTCCACATATCTTGCTCACTTGTTGGGATTCATCCTGATTGCCAGAGCTGGGAGCTGATGGGCAGGAATATGAGATTCTTCATCTTCCAGAGCAGAATGGGAATGGATTTCTTCTGGAATAATTTGGACAACCACCCCCTAAGCAGTCACCTGCCATATCTGTGGCCTTGACTTTGGCAGGGTGTCGTTGGGCTCAGCCTGTGGCCCACATGGAATTGGTCAGACTCTAAAGGAGTTCAGGGCTTTGGGCTGACTGAAGTTCTTTACTTGGACATAGGGGTGTGTGGATGAAGTGTAGTCGTTGTGATAACAGGTTAAATCAGTTCACCAGATGATGTTATGGTTCCTTCTGCCTTTAAACCACAGTAAAATGGTGACATGACATCTTTATGTTCACCTTGCACTCTGAGGTTCAAATTAGTCCCAGTCTGTGCTGTCAGAAGTTGGGTGCTGGTGGGTGTGTGATTCACTCTTTGATTCCTGGTAGCTGGGGAAACATCACCTAATTATCCCAGGCAGGGGGCCACGCTAATGTGGCTGTATTCCCTCTGGGATGTGAGCTCCCACCTCTGTATTCCCTCTGGGATGTGAGCTCCCATCTCTGCATTCCCTCTGGGATGTGAGCTCCCACCTCTGCATTCCCTCTGGGATGTGAGCTCCCACCTCTGCATTCCCTCTGGGATGTGAGCTCCCATCTCTGCGTGACACCGAGCTGTGGAGATACCCATGTCACTCACAACTGTCTCAGGCCTCTTGGTGGAAATATTCCTAAACTTTAACTAAGCTTGGGATAGAACTTACAAGTGGTTCTTCTGTAATAATTTGCCAAAATTGAGAGCATGGGAGTGTTGTTGGAAGATGGGAGTGTTGTTGGAAGACTTTGTACAACGCAGCCTTGGACAGGTTGCTGTACCTGTGCATTTTTATGGTTCCTTAAAGCTTCAGTGCCAGGGGAGGTTCAGGTTGGACATAAGGAGGAATTTCTTCATGAAAAGCTTGTCAGGCATTGAAAGGGGCTGCCCAGGGAAGTGGTGGAGTCCCCACCCCTGGGGATGTCCAAGGAACACCTCAGTGCTCTGGCCTGGATGACAAGGTGAGGATGGGCCAAAAAGTGGTCTCGATGATCTCTGAGATCTTTTCCAACCTAAGTGATCCTGTGTTTCTGATCTCTCTTCAGGAACTTTGCAAAGCTCATCCCATCTCCACCACCTTTCTTGATTTGAGGAGAATTCAAGTCACAAGGTCCCAGTGTAAAATTTCTTAGTTCTCTAAGACAGAGATGGGATGTTTATCTCCCCTTTCAAATCTGAGCAAAAGATCTTTAAGGTGGGATTGTTTCTTTGCCTTGATTTTTGTATCTCCTCCCTGGTTTTAGCTGCTTGTGGGAAATGTGGTTTTATGTAAAGACGCTGAAAGTGAGTTACCTCCCTGACCTGCAGTATTTTCCTTCCTTCCCTGAGGTTCAGCTGTGTGCACACAGTGAGTTTTTTTGAGGCAGCCTCATGGGAGTACAGGACTTGGTCTGTCAAAGAGAAGTTTTTTACTAAATGCATAAATTAGAAAGATTTCTTACTCATGTAATTCAGCACAGTCTTTTGGCTGAATCCAGTGCCTCACACAACCGGTGAATGCTGGACTTCTTGAGTACAGCTCTTACTCCAAACTATAGAAGCTTTGTCTGTTTTATCTTTTTTTTCCAGAAGTTGGGATAACACCATTTCGTCCCTTCTACCCCCAGCAGAGATAACGCACTTGTGTGATTGTTCTGATGTCATTAAACATCAAATAAGTACATTCTGTTGCAGATAAAGACCTCTCAAATATCAACCTGGTTGGTACCAAGTTTGCTGAAGAGCACGGACTGGCAGTCCCATCATTCATTGTTGTAGGAGGGCATTAATATTCAGAAGTTCCTGCTTTCCAAGCAGTTGGCCTTTAAGATGAGACTGACATCTCACTGGGATTCGAATTGTCTCTGGGAAAGCAGCCTGGCTCTTGTTTCGTGAAGCTCTTGAGTCTGAGGATTGTACAGAAGTCAATTGAAAAGCAAGAACCTTTGATCAAGTCAAACAGTCTCGGAGTTGAAAGAGATTCTCCCAGATGAGCGTCTCCTAAGCGTGGGGCCCTGATAAAGTCCTCTTGACTATTAATTTAGGCTCTATTTTATAATTCATTAGAATTGGGATCCTGAAAAAAGCAACAAACAACCCCCTGACTTCTGCCAAGTGGCATATGGCTGTCATCTCTGCTCAGCCTCCGGTGCTGCGAGCAGCATTCCTTCCCTCCCAGGAATGATCTTATCTACCAGAGGATTGCTCTCTATAGCTCTGTAAGTGCTCTGAGATCACTGTTCCTTTGTCATTCATACAGAAAAGGAGAACAGTCGTGATAGGCTGAAAATACAGAAAAAAAAAAAATCTTACAACTAATCACTTTGTGGATAATTTTGTTTTCCTGAAGTTTCTAGATGTGTAGGGCAGAGTCTGTATTGCCTGTTTTTTGTTCTAATTGGGCCAACCTTCAGAACTTTCCAGGTTTTTTTTAAGATATAAGACTGACTTCCCTTAAAATTGCACCCTGGCAGTGGTTCTGCTGGGACAGT